AGGATGTCGCGAGACTGGCGCTACACGCCGGCTCCGACAAGCCTCTAGACTTCTCGACACTCCCGGTAACCCGAGAGCGTCAGCTCGTTTATCGGATCTTAGTGTTAGTGTTGGCTCTACAACATGTTAAGATTGATGTTGGACCCAGCCTTTGGCCAATTGTGATGTGTACATGTTACGATCCATTCATATTCTGCCCCAGCGTGTCCAAGCACAACCAGCGTCTCCTGCAATGGGCTCTGATTGTGCGGGACTACAACAGTAGACACCCGTCATTAAAGGGTTCAGAGAATGTGTTGGCCGATGCTTGTCCGGGTTGAGTTTGAGATGTTAGTGTGTCAGGTTGAGTTTGTGATGTTAGTGTGTCAGGTTGAGTTTGTGATGAATGTGTGTTATTAGGAATTTCGTTAGTTTGCTTAGGTTCACAAAACCTGTGGGTTTGTGTCTTAAGGGGGGGAGTGTTACGGCTGCTGCCTTCCTGGTCGTCTGAGTGTTTTCAGCTGTGTGTGTTCTATTGGCTGCCATCTCCTGGTCCGCCCCTGAAGATTGCGATTGGAGCACGCCGGGCCCGACGCACTCCAATCGCAGCCCACAGCCGGCGCACACCTGCTGGAGATTATTACAAAGCTTGGGGACAATCATCATTCTGGAGGCTCTGTATGTGGACAGATGCCTCTCGCTACTTGCTCTGTGTTCTGCGGTAAAAAATTTTGTGATTAGTAGTGTCTAGAGTAGATTAGTTAAAGTAGCTTAGTTAGTGTTTAGAGTAGTTAGGATTCTGTGAGGGTTGCCTTTAGTTTAGCTGTGTTTTGTATAGATGCTTTGGTTAGTTGTACCACTTTTAAAGTGAGGTTTTGTTTCATTCTTTATTTAGTATATTAGTATTTATTTTCCATGTATGTCTTTAGACTCACCTTTTAGAGTCCTCCCTTAGTTTGGTTGCCCATTTAAACTTGCGCCTTTGTGGCCTCTATTTGTTTGTTATTTAAACCAGTGTTTTGGCTCTTTTGTTTGTTTCAGGCTGTTTGCCTGCCATTTTGTTTCCCCTGTTGTGCATTAAAACCACTTATAATTATACCAATACCAATCTGGTTGTGTTGCTTCCCTTTGATTCCCCTAGCTCAGAAGGGAACGTAATAATATTTGATTATGGAGACTGTAACGAATATTCGAATAATCACTGGCATCCCTACTCCAGATAGTGTCTTTCAAAACGTGGGTGGAAATATTGCTATCTTATTGTGCAGAGGACTTTATTAACACTCCAACAGTCCTCCCTGTTTGCTAACGTAGGCCTGTTAAGGCCCTGACACACCAGGCCGAAATCGGCCGTCGGTGTTAGTCGGACGACGAAGCGTGCCCTGTCGCCCAAACTCAATTTGGTGTGTCCCGCACCGTCGGCCGTGACACNNNTATTACGTTCCCTTCTGAGCTAGGGGAATCAAAGGGAAGCAACACAACCAGATTGGTATTGGTATAATTATAAGTGGTTTTAATGCACAACAGGTGAACAAAATGGCAGGCATGCAGCCTGAAACAAACAAAACCTCACTTTAAAAGTGGTACAACTAACGCAAAGAATCTATACAAAACACAGCTAAACTAAAGGCAACCGTCACAGAATCCTAAACTACTCTAAACACTAACTAAGCTACTCTACACTCTAACTAACCTACTCTAGACACTACTAATCACACAAGTTTAACCCCAGAACAAAGAGCAAGTAGCGAGAGGGATCTGTCCACATACAGAGCCTCCAGAATGATGATTGTCCCCAAGCTTTGTAGTGATCTCCAACAGGTGTGCGCCGGCTGTGCGCTGCGATTGGAGTGCGTTGGGCCCGGTGTGCTCCAATCGCAATCTTCAGGGGCGGACCAGGAGATGGCAGCCAATGCCGAGAGGGCAACCGCACAGCTCATTTACATAGAACACACACAGCTGAAAACACTCAGCCGAATAATCGATTTTGATCATGGTCAGTTTCTGGCAACCCTAATCTGGAGTCATAGTGCTGAGGCTGACTCCTTCTTCAGATCAATGATTTATTGCCAAAGAAGGTTACAAACAACAAAAGAACAAATTAAGCAGTAGATCAACTTTGCAACGTTCATGGTCCGGCAGGGAAATAAATGGAATTGTGCCAGCATATGAGGCTGATGAGGGGATAAGATGCAGGTGTAGGGCGAGCTGATGAGGAAAACCATATGTTCTAATACAGGACAGCAATATTCTAATGTGTGTTGTCACTGAGACATCCATTTAAATACAAACAGTAGTTTAGTAAAAAGGCTATAATTCCAGATACGAATGACTTGTTCTCTGCTCTTCCTCTCCAGGACAGCTGACTTGGTCTCGTTGGTGAGGGACAGTCTCAGAAATCCAGGAAGCCCCTATCGGCTGGGAGCAGGAAGCTCTTCTCTCTGGGGGACGTGCTGGGCTGCCTGCGGCCCCCCGTCAGTGACCTGGAGCTATCATGTCCTCTGTAGACCTCGGCACAGGTGGAGCTGATGTGGCTCCCAGTAGTTGCATGGAAAGACTGGCTAATGGACTAACACCTGCTGTGTGTCACACTGTGACACCTCCACCCTCGGGAGGGTCTTTGGCTGGGGATGTTTGGGATGTACACAACATCAGCACTTGGAAAAGTAAAGGAAACATTTGTTAACTTCCCAAAAAGAGTGGTTGGTTCAGCCTAGTGAATCAAAGACAGCCAGTAACTTTTTTGTAACCGCTTTAAATGCCAGCTTGGGGATTACAAAGTAAAAGCCTGAACTAAAGAAAGAGACGGGCACGTTCTTCCCAAGTGGAAATGATCCAAAAGATCATGATGGATATGGGAAAGAGTTTTAAAAAAGGGAAGTCCAAATGGAGAAGAACGTTAAGGGAATCCAACCCTCCTGACATACAGAGCAGTGAAGATGGACCATTCTGGACCCTGGAGTATGGCCAATATTTGTATTTATTCCTACATTTTATTTATATTTGTATATGAAAACTACAGTGTGTTTAACCCTCCCTATTGTTTAAAATGTATACAATTACATTTCTTTCAGCATGACATATGATTAATACCTGGCCTGACTCCAGCATTACAAAAAGAGAATCGATGTCATTTATTTTAACAGAAGCTGTTCTCAAATAAAACACATCGAAGACATTCATTGAAATACAATACACATGGTTGTATGTTTATCTATGATATTATATTGATCTACTTTATCATAATTTAATGCAGAAAAATCATATTGTCACTAAATGATCATTTGCCAGCGGGAGGTATATTTTGCATTTACATGACAGTAAATGAATATATAAAAGCTAATATATCATTTATATTACTATTTTAAATATTTCATAACCAGGGTACAAATATTGCCTATTGTACTTTTGACACTTGAACAATCTTAACAGATTCAATAGTAAAGTTATTTTTATTATCGATAAAACAAAGTTAAGATTGTGCACGTAGAGCAAAAGAAACAGAATGTATTCATATTCTGTCACTTTGCCGTCGTATTAAATAAAACTGACACTGTTAGGATATCAAAACAAAATGTTAGAGAATGACTTTAAAAATGACTGTTTCATATATTGTTATAATGCCATCTGCCATCTGTAAAGCACACTGGGAAGAATCCAACTAGGGTCTAAGCTGAGGAGAGCTGCAAAAACTTTGGTCAAAAGCTCAGAAGAATAAAAGAAGTCACAGAAGCAACAAGAATGGACAAAGGCAAGTTCAACCAACCTCTGCAAAACCACTGACACGGAGAGTTTCTTTATGAGAGACTGTCAGTTCGCTGTGGTTCTGCTCAAAGACAGCTGTGGACTGTATGGACCTGCATCAGTCTGCACGAGAGGACATCAGCTAAGGTTCCACGCCAACAATACACCAGGATTCATTCATAATTATGATAAAAAATAGTAGATGCCACTTAATCATTTATTTGTATTAAATGAATGAAAGCCAGAACGTTGAAACCATATAATATAGGGGATCAAGTTCAAAGGACCCTTACACTATTCCTTTTATTCATTCCTGTGTTCATACTTCCATCAAGATTTCAAAGGAAAGTTAGATTTCTAAATCTATCTACCTTCCAGGCAGTTACTCATTTGCAAACATTTGAATTTTGTATACATTTCTTTTCAGCAACTAGAATCTTACTTTTGCATTCTTTACAGTAAACAAAGCTTTAAAAAAGTACAAGTAGAACCTGTTTTAAGCATCCACCTTCACATGCACACACAGGTGAGTGTGACATGAAGAAATCTACATCAGCAGGTGGCTCTGACACGGAGAGACATGTTTGTTTGGTTTTTGAGGTGGATGGTTGAAAATTACATTAATTATAAACATTACATTGCCACGAGCAATGTTTGGCCTTTTATGAAGCATTCTTACTTTGAAGTGTATTTGATTCTCTTGTTTTACAGGTACCGATTTGTAAATGTTTTATTTTATGTACGTTACATCAAGATTGATTTTCATATGATCCTCTTTAGCTACTGTATCTAAAAAAAATTCCTGAATTGTTTTAGTTGCACAACTTTTACATTTCAAGCATGTTGTGAAAAATAAGAAAACATTTGTAAAGCCAGTTTCATACTTCCTGCCCGGAGGCGAGGGCTGCTGTGACTAAACCTACCTGTGTGGCTGACGTTCATTCAGGTTATCGTAGTGAGCTGTACATTGCGTACCATTAGCTGGAGAGGAACCTGGAACTCTGTGCCGTTTCTAGCGTCACCTCACTGGGATCTGACAACATGCTCATCATAGATGGACACATCTGGGTTGAAGTGAACATGGAAAGTCCTGTGTAGCTGTCTGAACTGCGTTCTCAAAGGAATTCATTGAAGAAAAGCACTATGCTCATCTCACAAGAGAAGTGAAGAACCTGCACTCCTTCTGTCATCACTGCTGCTTTGGTGTACATTAAGAATGTCGGATGCGTTTTAGTGAAAGATTCATTTCCATCAGTGAAACAAATAACATTCACAAATCCATTGTTTTAAGATAACTTTATAAAAAAATTCAAATAACAAAGCATTTGCAATAAAGTAACATTGGAGGTTACAGCAAAGTGTTTTGACATTTCAATGTAATAAAGATGTCAACTGAACAGACACTTGTCAAACATTTTAAAAAGCATTTATTTAGAACTCATTGAGCACACCCTTACAGGGTTATGTGGCGCAGGCTGCTACCTGGATTTCCCCTTGATCATTTGTGATTTCATTCCTCAAACAGAAATACAAAACAATGCAATTTAACTGAATCAGTAGTACCAACTCCATAAAAATTAAATAAAAAACGGGAAAAATATTAAGTAACATACATGCCAAAATTATAGAAACATTAACAGCGCAAATGCAAGCATCTGTGTACGTCTCCAGTGTCATCAGGCAGCGACAACACGGAGACAAATCTGCACAAAATCCAGAAAGGATCACAGAGACTGATGATGTGGCTCCAGGATTCAAAGAACAGAAATAAACAAAAAGCAGTTGGTCTATAGTCTAGAACTAAACAGGGATCCAACAGACATGCGGAGCGAGCCCAACAGTTCTAAATGGGGAACTCATGTTTAGGAAAAGAAAGTCATCCTTTGGCTCCTTTGCAGCGGCTGGACAGGACTGCTCCATCTCCCCACAGAGGAACATCTGTGGGCTTGTCTACTCTTTCCCTGGGATGCAGTCATTTATCAGTTCATGTTACATCAATTTTACATTCACAGAGCCATATGTGCATCCACCTATCCTTATCATTAGTTCCAAAGTTGTTTTACAGCATATCATCATCATCTTCTCCTCCTCCGTACATGTCGGCCAGCTTCTTGAAGCGGGGCCCCCAGTCACTGAGGCAGTCGTAGTCCTGATCCCCGCTGCTCGACGAGTTCAAGGAGGAGAGGCTTCCCGCGTCCGATCCGCCTCCCTCATAGTCAAACACCAGCAGGGAGTCGTAGGGGGGGGCAGTGGGGTCGTTGTCGGCGGCCTTCAGGTTCTGAGAGGAGCAGAGGATACATGTCGTCATTTAAAAAGGACTGGCTTATCTAAAGCCAGTTGAGTAGCACTTGAAATGTTTTAGCTCTATGAAACCTGATGTACTTATATGATTCAGTTTTCTTCAAGTTTGTATTTTGTTGGTGTTACGCACTTATTGTAAGTCGCTTTGGATAAAAGCGTCAGCTAAATGTAATGTTAACAGAACTTATTATAATTTGTTTATGTATTTATAGCACCGTTACGCAAGGAACGATTCAAAAATAGAGGATGATGCAACAATTGTCAAACCATATACGAAAAATCCTGCTGTGAAAGGACCCATCATTTGGAAGAAAGAAAATGCTCTCGATCAGAATCTAGAATTATAAATGTGGTAATATCTTCCTAATTTCAAACGGATATGTACTTTCCCTATCTAATACACTGTTTTATAAAAGCAGCAGGGTTTCCCACGCAGACATTACTTCATACCGTCATGGTATAATTATAGCTGCCCAACTCAGTTTAAATAATAAAATATATTTTTGAAATCGGTCATAGACAACGACCTATGTCGGCCTCCACCTGGTGGCGGTGTGGTGCTACTGGGGAAAGGAGGCAGAGCGTGGAGCAGTGCTGAAACAGAGCTTGAACGTTAGACTCACATCCACAATGAAGTTTCCGATTTCATCTGGGTTGGCGGGGCGGGGCCGGTACAGAGGAGCCGGCATGAAGTTTGGCAGCACGTCGTCTCTGATGACGTCGGGCCGGTTGTCCAGACCGCGGTGGAGAACACCCAGATCATAGTCCTGGGGGGGGCACAGGGAGGGGTTTAAACTAAAGATAATGAAGCTTTCATAATAAACTTATTTATATTTTTAGATGGAACATGCTGTATTCTACCCAACCGTCATACTTCATAGTGCTGTGGCAGTTATATACCATGATATGGCAAATGTATGAAAACGACATTGAATAAAGTGTAAAGGAATAAACAGTTTGAATGTTGATTATATTATTATAAGTAATACTTTTCAGAGTGAAGTATTGTCCTTTTTACATGACTTCATTTATTGAACCTGACTGAGCCCTGTCAGAAATAAATGGAGCAAACCTCTGTCTTCATTTACCTGATCGTCCTCTCCGCCTCCCTCTTCATCGTAGTAATAGATGTTGTCTCGGATGTCGTCGTCCTGCAGTAAAGGTTCCTTCTGCTCGCCTCCTCTCCGTCTCGCAAACAGAAGCAGCAGCAACACCAGCACTGAAACCACAGAGCACAAACAATATTACAACACAGCAGAACACATCACCACCATCATACTGACTCAGACATTTAAAAAAGGAGACATGCCGCTTATGGCGCTTTTCCACTGCAGGACCTAGCACAGCTTAGTACGGTATGGCAGTGTTAATTTTGGAAGCTTTTTTTTTTTTTATTTAGTCTTAAGACGAAAATGGTTATTAGTTTTAGTCACATTTTAGTCATTTCTATCCTTCATAGTTTTAGTCTAGTTTTGGTCGACGAAAAAAATTACATTTTAGTCAAAATGTTTTCTCTCTTTAAACCAATTCAGTTAGGCAAATACAGGTTTCTGACATTGTTATCAAGGTGACAGCATCAAGTGTTGAAATTCGTAAAGCAACATTTCACTCTCTTAAGACTTAACTTGTGTAATATCTAGGGATGGGTATCGTTAAGGTTTTCTACGGTACTACTAGTCTTATCGATACTGCTTATCGATCCGGTACTTTAACAGTATTCTTGTATTTACTTTGTTATTTTTTTTAAAAAGGAAAAACAAATTGTTAACCCAATTAATTGCTTTATTTAAATGTGAAATAAATGAAATTATGTTAAAATATTGTACTGTACTTGAGTAAAATGTTGAGGTACTTGTACTTTACTGGAGTATTTAAATGTTTTGCCCTCAGTCATCAGCAACAGACGAGAGAGAGTCACCCCGAACACAGCCCGCCGAAGTCGCAGACTCTCCTCGTTCCTATGTACAGTAGAAATTTTTCCTGACGAATAGATTTCGGTCAACTCATCGTGAACTTTACAAAATCGTACTAGAGTGGACTCTGAAGAGCAGGTAAAGAGAACCGTAGATAGAACAACCAGGTGATAACAGTTCAGACACCTATTTTTCGCACGTCGAGTAGTAGTTAGTAGCCAACAAAGCATAAATATCGCGGAGAGCAATGAGCCTTGCTAGTAGAGTCACGTAGCGGTTTGCATAGTTTTCGGACTGTGCACTTTCCTGGTACGCTGTAAAGACATATATGACGAGTATGAGGAGAGCTAAGGCGTGTCTGCTTAATATTTCACACCATTATAGAAGGATTAAAGTTGGCCTATCATGAAAGGGATAGATATGTGACAAAATATTTCGTCGTCCCAAGGTGCGTCTTGTAATGAAGTATGGCAGTCCATTTAATCGACGGGTGGTCAAATTATTATTTTATATAAACTTTAGCCGTATCTGTTGCTGGATCAGCCGAGGTGGACCACCGCCACACCACGATGACCATTTCCTCCTGTCTCGCACCCTCGTCACGACTTTAGTCTCGAAACTTGCAATCTGAGTGTAGGTGTTACTTCAAAGGCTAAAGTAGACCCAACCGCCCGCCCCGGCCATGTCTCCTCGGCCGTACTTCAAACCGTCGTGCAGCAGAGGACTACTGCAGCCCAGGCGCAAAGGTCTGGCTCGCCAGACGAGTGTGGGTAGAGTACGCAGACCCGACGCACGCAGTCCCGCCACACGCACTGCTCCCACTTCGGCCGTATTTGCAATATATAAAGGATATCGTCATCCGGCGCGCAAGTCGCTGATGTTTCTCTGAGACGTCTCCGCGCCTCGGTTGTCAGTTTCTGACATCCTAATATGAGATGTTCCGAGCTACACTCATTGTTTCGCTGAGCAAACCGCTAATCACACTATAACGCTAACACTGGTTACAACTAATTCTCATTCTGCATATGACAACATGTTTATTGTCGTCAATTTCCTTTGCTTTGTCAAACTTACACTTATAAATAAGTTTGTCGTGTCGGTTTTCTGCCTGTATTAAAGTATCGGAAGAACCATTCATATATACGTGTGTTGTAAATAAAGCTGAGGAGACTTGAGCACTTCGAGCAACCGGCAGCTCTTATGGTATCAGTGCTTGGTGTCGAGATAGATGTAGATCACATACAGGATAGCGTCCTCCCCGCGTTTTCATAGAACGGAGAGACGCTGAGAACATGTATATACGCTATTTATTGGCTACTCACACATCCGAGTTCTCAAGGAGTTCACGCATGCTAGGACAATATCTATTTGTAGTCTTATATGTAGATGGGCGGCACTATGCGAGACATGTCAGTGTGTCGTTTGTACTTCAGTCGTAACTTACTGCGTACCCAGGATCATGTCTGTAGTGTCTCTCGTGGTTTGTTATTATATAGACTAGTTGTGTCCGATCATTTGATGTAGGACTAGTAATTTCATCAGATGAGTTTCCGACTCGTTATGCCCGTGCTAACGAATCATATTTACTGTCTGTAACATTATACGTCGAATACGCGCGAAAGGTGACGTCCTGGATCGTGTGCGATCTGCCCCGCCTACCACATTACGAACACCTACACGTTTTCCAGAACTAATATAGTAAACTAATATAAAATAGTGTAGTGAAGTTCAGCGCGTAGACACTTCATCTCGATTCCTATAAAAATTTATAGGTATACAATACTCCAGCGTATACAGTGTGCATAGTAGCGTAACTCCTCAAGAGACCGCTGCTTTTTTAATAGAATTCAGTTTTACAATAAGAGAGAGTATCGCGCTTTGAGTCCTACACCCTGTCTTCTCTTGTCCATGTAGATGCTTAATAGTCCACTTGTTGTGTATTTATTCTTTGTTAAAGTGAGATTCTGAATTGTTTAACACATTATAGATCCTCCCATAGCAATTCTGT